CCAGTTTACAGCAGTGCCACGCACTCTACAAACTGAAGGTCTTATTGTTTTCAGTGTGAAAATTTTATACTGTGAAGGGAGCATAATGGAGCCCGCACTTGCTATGGTGCATACCCTTTTCAAGCATGATTGCGTAAAAAGCTATACCTTTTATTAAATTGATTCTGACATAAATGTAATATATATTTGATAAGCTCTAAGCAGTCTTCAAAACTTTACAAAACATAAAATTGTTTATAAAACCAGAAAATCAGCTTGCGTTGTCACAGATTGAGCAATGTAATGTTTTCACAGTATGTAAATATGCTAATAATAGATGCAAACCAGAGCAAGCTAAAATATAATAGTATCCATACTGTATTTACTGTACATCAACCCCAGCAACGCATTCATTGGAACGAGTAAGATCAGGATTTTAAGATAGACCATGTATGGTATATTTTTACACTGATCCAGCTTATACCAATGAAATTGTGTACCATGCCTGGCCAATGTCCCTGGAAGCTTGGATTCACTGAAGTAGACACGCTACTACAGTGATCTCCACTTGCTTCTGAATGCTGTACTGAGCTTGGCTGCTTAGCACGGGTTGCCATTCACTTTGTATTCTCTGATTGGACATAGTGGAGAGGCAGGGCGGTGATGCCAGCATGGGACCCAGAATCTAATGGTGATCACTGGAGTAGCGGTGTCTACTTCAGTGATTTCCAGCATCCAGGGACATAGGCCAGGTATGGTATATACAGTACATAGTGACATTGGTACAAGCTGGACCAATGTAACTATGTAAAAATAAACCATAACTGGAATTCTTTAACCACTTCCCACCTGGCTGCTGTACATACACTTTAAATACCTGTACGTCCCGACAAAACCTGTGCTGCACGCCCCCTAGGGGCACCACAGCCACGTGATTCTGACATATCGGGACATGCTGTGATTGGCCCTCCTGATCAGGTGATGGGTGTATCCAATCAGAGCCATCACAATGTAGTCAAAGGTGCACACCTCTGTAGTGGCTCAGTGAAAGGGGGGGGGGGAGGGGTCAGCTATCTGTGTGTAGCTGATGATTTTATTGTTCAGCTACACACAGATCACACAGACTGTAACCATCCGTCACCAGTGCACCAAGCACCATCTATCCCTGTCCAGTGTACTAGTGCTCCACCAACATCTGTCACAGTGTACCAGTGCACAAAAATATCTGCAGTAGTGTTCTGTATCAACATCTGTCAGTGTCCCATTGCAGCATCAACATCTGTTGGTGTCCCTAGTGAACCATCATCTGTCAGTGTACCAGTCTCCCATCAATATCTGTCACAGTGTACAAGTGCACAGAAACATCTGTCAGTGTACCATTATTCCATCAAGATCTGTCACAATGTACCAGTGTCAGAGGGCAGAGTAGACATCTGGGGTCCAATAGACCCCAGATCTGTCCATAAAGAGTACACATCACAGCCTATTGCTGTCACAAATGAGGTTTACATTCCTTGTGACAGCAATAAAAGTGATAAAAAGTGTAAAAATAAAATAACATAAATAAAACATTTTAAAGTGCCCCCCCTCTCATGCTTGCGTGCATAGGTAAACGACAATCACACCGCACGTGCTGTATTGCCACAAACATTAGAGCGAGAGCAATAATTCTAGCAACAGACTACCTCTGTAATTTTAATCTATAAAGTGCTATGGATAATTTTAAATACCATAGTTTGGTGTAATTCCACAAGCGTCTGCAATTTAAAAGCGTGGCATGTTTGGTATCTATTTACTCGGCGAAACACCATATTTTACCCATAATATTGGGTATTATATTGTGTTTGTGTGCATTAAAATTTGCATTAAAATTTTATTAAAAATCACTTTTTCCCAAAAAGTTTCTTTCGAAAAACCATTGTGCAAATACCATGTGACATTAAACTTGCAAAACCCACCATTTTATTATCTAGGGCCTCTGCTAAAAAAAAATATATAATGTTTGTGGGTTCTAAGTAATTTTCTAGCAAAAATACAGATTTTTACTTGTAAACAAAAAGTGTCAGAAGAAGTCCTGCTCTTAAAGTGGAGAACGCCTGGAGGTGCTCCTTAAATGTTGGGCCTCCTCTATGTGGCTAAGCTGTGAAAAGTCTCACATATGGTATCGCCATACTCAGGAGGAGTGGCTGAATGTGTTTTGGTGTGTGAGAAATAAATTGTTAATGACATTTTTGTGAAAAAAAAAAGTTTTTCATTTCTTCATTTTCCAAAGAATTGTGGGAAAAAAGTACATCTTCAAAAAACTTGCCATGCCTCTTACTAAATATCTGACTGTCTACTATCCAAAAAGGGGTAATTTGAGGGGTATTTGTACTGTTTTGGTATTTTAGGGCCTGAAGAAATGAGATGGCAGTCAGTAAAACAGGTGTGATCAATTTTCAAGGATAGGTACCTTAGCTTGTAGACTCTATAACTTTCACACAGACCAAATTATATTCTCTGATTTGGGTTATTTTTACCAAAGAAATGTAGCAGTTTATATTTTTGCCAAAATTTATTTTAAAAAATTACTTATTTGCAAAATTGTAGAAAAGAAAACACGTCTTTTTTTTCCCAGAATTTTTGGTCTTTTTTTTCATTTATAGCACAAAAACTAAAAAAAAAAAAACAGTGGCAATCAATTACCGCCAATGGAAAGCTCTATTTGTTTGAAAGAAATGATAAACATTTTATATCGGTACAGTGTTGCATGAGTAATTGTCATTCAAAGTGTGACAACGACAGCACTGAGAGCTGAAAAATGGCCTGGGCAGGAAGGGGGTGAAAGTGCCCGGTATTGAGGTGGTTAAATTCAAAAGCAATGTCATTTTGCTTCCATATGTTTGTAAGCCGTGTTTTCATTTTATGCTTCATGAACAGATGGACTAGGTCCTAAATAGCAGTGCAATGCCCTAATGTAAGCAGTTAGCTGCTACTTGTCAGTTATTTCCAAAATGTAAACATCTGATTGGTTTCCAAGAGTTGTTTGTCCAGAATATGAAATACACCCTCATTCGTTACTAACAACAGTATTTGCATAATATTTGTGTAATCCTAAATACACATGGGGTTTATTTTCAGTTACAGGATGTCGTAATGTAGTTTGCATGTTCTGTTACATTTTAGTCCTCATGTACACTGGACGTTTTTACAGCAGCCGTTTTCGGCTTTTGACGTTTTTTTTCTACAGCCAGTAAACCCCCCAGCATGTTATCCTATGTATCCATGCACACATAGACTGTAATGAACGATTGTTGGCTGGGATGTTTTTTTGGCTGGAAAAAAAAACCAGGACTAGTGGATTTCTAGAGGAGTTTTTTTAGCTGCAAAAGCGCTCTAACGTGGCAAAATGCAGTAAATTGCGGCAAAACCAGCGCTTGTGGCCTTTTTTTAGACTAAAAAAAACCTAAAAAACAATAAACTCAAACACAAAAAAAAGCGGCTAAATGCTAAAAAACCTGAAAAACTCACACTTTTATGCGACTTTACACAGCTAACGTTACCAGCATTATTAAAACACCCCGTCTGCATGAAGCTTGAATGTAGTTTAGATGTTTTGAACATGCTTAGAACTGTTTGGTTTTTAAAAAAGTGAGAAGCCTAGTCATCACAATTTGTTGTACACTAGAAGTGTAAGCACCCCCAACATTTCTCTTTACCGACTGGTTCACACCAGAATCGCACAGTCTGCGTTCCTGTGAAATTTTTGTGTGTTCCTGCAGTGGGATTTGGCAGCCATTTGAATGGGCTGCAAATTGCACCAGAACACACAAAAATTGCGTTGCACCAAATCACGTGGTACTGTGGTACCACCACGCAATCTGGAGCTGCATTTGCAATCTACACTTGGACGCCGTTAATGTATTGGCATTCACAGCAGATTACAAAGGCAGTGCGTTTTGAACACAGTGCGGGAGACACAGACGAAACACCTTTTCCGCACTGTGTTTTCGTGTGAACCAGCCCTTACTGAGCATCAGCATTAACTGCAAGTGAAATAATTACTTGTAGATCTGAAGGTAGCAGTCTGCTGGAGGACTTTTGGAGCAAGTTACATGTAACACCCATATTTTTCTCCTATACGTTCTCCTCGATCCCCCCACACCCACTGTCACATTTGAAATACAGAGTGGGTATGCAGGGCTCTGTTCGCACAACCACATCGTTAATTTCCAGAATTCTTTGAATGCGAGAACTACAAGTCCTGCCTGCCACTGCAACATACAGCTTGTAGTTCTCGAAGAATTGCAAGGCCACTGATGAGCACCCTCACAGTTCATTCACATGTCCTGTAGCTTTCAAAATGACAGCCCGTATAGAGGTACGGGCTGAAAGCTGTAGGGCTGGTCTGCAGGAGCCTGACCTTGCATCCACGATTCACAGATCACCAGTTCAATGCTTTGCAGGCTCCTGCAGGAAAACAAAATAACAAATGCATTTTTTTCTGAAAAAATGTGTGCATTTATTTTTATTTTTTTTCCAAAAAGGTGAACTTAGTAAACCTAAAGGAGTATAGTCAGCATTTAATGGTGAGCTTTAAAGGCTAACTATAGTATACAGGCCTGCCTGATTGGATACAGATTGATTGAATGTTTTGTTGGGTCCTAATATTACATAGATTTGGAAAATGTAAAGTTTAATCACAAAATTGATTCCGTCACATTTAACGTGCATGGTGAGCTTAAAAGACACCGCTGTATGCTGTCTCCTGCGAGGCTGGTGTGTTTCTGGGCTACCACCCCCTTTATCATAAGGCTCTGGTGTGTTAATACTGAGCTTCATATTCATTTTAAATTGAAGTATGATGACACCTTATCTGCCTAATCACACACGGAATGTAGGGAATTGTGTGTGGATTGTAGCATAAGCTAGGTTTCAGTATGTTTTGTTATTTTATCCGCCTTTTTCTGATGACAAGTTCATTTTAATGTATATTTATCTGATTTACAGGTTCACTCTTAATATGTGTTTCTTTTGTAAAGGTTGTCAAACACATCAGTGACATTGCAAGAATATTCGGTCATGTTTTGGGGACAAAGGAAATCCAACCAGGTATAAGTGGTTAAGAACTCAACCTTGTGTATACTATACCTTCCATCCATCTTGTGTATATGATTAGAGCTTATACCAAGAATTGTTAGTGGACTCATGTCCGTTCTTTATTTACTGCTTCCAGAAGGCAAAATGTTTTACTATAATTAATAGTATTTAATGTAATGTAATTGCGGATACTGGGCTCCAAAGCATCTAAAATACTTAAAACAATTTATAGAGTACTCATCATAGCAATCAATTGTCACTTTGGTGGAATACACTATTTAGGTAAAAAAAAACCTACCTTTACAACCATTTTAAGACTGGGACATCCAAAAGCAGTCCAACTGAGGGATGGGTAACACAGCAAACAATGCCAACACGTCAGGAGGGGCTCATCAGATTTAGAAAGCAATTTGTAGCACCTCAACATTGAAACTGGCATCAGAGGAGGCCTCCACATCCACTTGTTAGAACATAAAGCACTATTAAATCCAACGCAAACATATATTACATTGCAGCTTACAACTGTTAATTGTGATCACTGCATTAGTTTCCTTTTTAGGCTTTTTTTCTTCTTTTTCCACCTTTCATTCAGCCAACAAGATTACTGTTTTTCAGAAGTTCAAGCTCTCCAGAATGTATCAGTGTACATGTATGAGACAATCCATTTACCACTAGCAGGAGTGATAAGGGCTGTGGATAAGGAGGCACCACCAGTGCTTCTGTTTGGGGCCCAGGGGAGCCCAGGCAGCTGGGTGAATCGGATGTGGGCAGGGAGGGTGATCGGCGGGGGGGGCAATTACTGGAACTGAACTACTGTATGGCTCTGTCTGCAGCAGCTGAAAGCTGGCTTCTTCTCCTCTCCCTCCCGATGGCTTTCAGCTGCTGCTGAGAGAGCCATACAGGAAATCTGTTTCAGTATCTGCCCCCCACTGCACCCATCACCCTCCCTGTGCACCATACAAATCCCCCTGCTGCCCAAGCCCCCCTGTGTGCCCCCACAGTGCTGCCGGCTTCCCTACTCTCTTTCCCAGCAGCAACTTCAAGAATACAATAGGATCCCTCAGGATGGAGAGTGGAGGGAAAGGTCTTCTAAACATATCACGTTTACCAGCCCCCTGGTAAACTACTTTATCTGAATAGAAAGTGCAAGTTGCAGTTTGACTTCAATTTTGTTATTTTATTAAAATCTGTTAATACATTTAACACTCCCCGAAACCCCTCACCCCACCCCAAGCTGATAATGCTGCTGTTTGCTGTGTCCTGTACTCATTCCTCCATAGTGATGTCTCACTAATACAGGAGGTGTTACTAGTCAGATAACTAGGTGAAAACAGAAGTAAAAAAGCCTAAAACGAGACAAATGATGCAGCCTCCTCGTCTAATGATTGATAAGCTGCAATATAGTACATTTTTGGTTTTGGGTTTATTACAGCTTTAAGAAACATGAACAGAAGCCCAGATAATGCTTCATTGGCTTTTCATTATCAGGCATCTGTTTGACTTGCAAAGCAGCTAACAGCTCTGGTAGAGTTCAGATTTTAGGCTGTAAAAATAATCTGTCTGATCCACCTGCAATGGTGGAGCAATAGGCTTGGAGACACCTGTGATAAACTTCAGGAAGCACAAAGAAGGCATCTGATTTCCTTAAAGCAGCAATAGCTGAGAGGTAAACTCTCAAAGCACTCCACGTTCAGACAGAGAGACATTTCTTTGGGATGTTTTGGAGCAGGACATAAGGTAGTGAGGACAATGTCCTGATTAAGGTGGGAGGCAGGGATCACCTTTGGGAGAAAGAAGGCCTCAGGACTTTGTGCATGTACAACACTAAGAAAGGCTTCTTCTAGATTAAGGCTGACCTTCCTAGCAGAGGTGATAGCTTCGAGAAAGGCCTTCCTTTCAGTAAGTTTGAACAAGGGAATACCGCTAATAGGTTCAACAAGCAGCTTCTGAAGAGTCGAGAGATCCAGATTGAGATCTAAAAATGCCAAAATATCTGCACTAAAAAAAACTTGAAACATTTTGTGTAAATTCTAATTGTGAAAAAAAAAAAAGCTGCTAGCAGGAAGACCGCTATATACAGAATCTCACAGAAGTAAGTACACCCCTCACATTTTTGTAAATATTTTATTATATCTTTTCATGTGACAACACTGAAGAAATGACACTTTGCTACAATGTGATGTAGTGAGTGTACAGCTTGTATAACAGTGTAAATTTGCTGTCCCCTCAAAATAACTCAACACACAGCCATTAATGTCTAAACCACTGGCAAGAAAAGTGAGTACACCCATAAGTGAAAATATCCAAACTGGGCCCAATTAGCCATTTTTCCTCCCCAGTGTCATGTGACTCGTTAGTGTTACAAGGTCTCAGGTGTGAATGGGGAGCAGGTGTGTTAAATTTGGTGTTATTGCTCTCACTCTCTCATACTGGTCACTGGTAGTTCAACATGGCACCTCAGGGCAAAGAACTCTCTAAGGATCAGAAAAAAAGAATTGTTGCTCTACATAAAGATGGCCTAGGCTATAAGAAGATTGCCAAGACCCTGAAACTGAGCTGCAGCACGGTTGCCAAAACCATACAGCGGTTTAACAGGACAGGTTCCACTCAGAACAGGCCTCGCCGTGATCGACCAAAGAAGTTGAGTGCACGTGCTCAGCATCATATCCAGAGGTTGTCTTTGAGAAATAGATGTATGAGTGCTGCCAGCATTGCTGCAGAGGTTGAAGGGGTGGGGGGGTCAGTCTGTCAGTGCTCAGACCATTCTCCGCACACTGCATCAAATTGGTCTGCATGGCTGTCGTCCCAGTAGGAAGCCTCTTCTAAAGATGATGCACAAGAAAGCCCACAAACAGTTTGCTGAAGACAAGCAGACTAAGGACATGGATTACTGGAACCATGTTCTGTGGTCTGTTGAGACCAAGATAAACTTATTTGGTTCAGATGGTGTCAAGCGTGTGTGGTGGCAACCAGCTGAGGAGTACAAAGACAAGTGTGTCTTGCCTACAGTCAAGCATGGTGGTGGGAGTGTCATGGTCTGGGGCTGCATGAGTGCTGCCGGCACTGGGGAGCTACAGTACATTGAGGAAACTATGAATGCCAACATGTACTGTGACATACTGAAGCAGAGCATGATCCCCTCCCTCCAGAGACTGGGCCGCAGGGCAGAATTCCAACATGGTAACAACCCCAAACACACCTCCAAGATGACCACTGCCTTGCTAAAGAAGCTGAGGGTAAAGGTGATGGACTGGCCAAGCATGTCTCCAGACCTAAACCCTATTGAACATCTGTGGGGCATCCTCAAACGGAAGGTGGAGGAGCGCAAGGTCTCTAACATCCAACAGCTCCGTGATGTCGTCATGGAGGAGTGGAAGAGGACTCCAGTGGCAACCTGTGAAGCTCTGGTGAACTCCATACGCAATAGGGTTAAGGCAGTGCTGGAAAATAATGGTGACCACACAAAATATTGACACTTTGGGTCCAATCTGGACATTTTCACTTAGGGCTGTACTCACTTGTGTTGCCAGCGGTGTAGACATTAATGGCTGTGTGTTGAGTTATTTTGAGAGGACAGGAATATTACACTGTTATACAAGCTGTACACTCACTACCTTACATTGTAGCAAAGTGTCATTTCTTCAGTGTTGTCACATGAAAAGATAGAATAAAATATTTACAAAAATGTGAGGGGTGTGCTCACTTTTGTGAGATACTGTATGTCCTAATACTATGCGTGAGTATAAAACTTTCAAACAATATTCAGTAAATATGAAAATTCAACAATTGTAGTAAGACTCCTTAACATAAAAGTACTTGTACATACAGGTGAAACTCAAAAAATTAGAATATCGTGCAAAAGTTCATTTATTTCAGTAATGCAACTTAAAAGGTGAAACTATTATATGAGATAGACTCATTACATGCAAAGCAAGATAGTTCTAGCCGTGATTTGTCATAATTGTGATGATTATGGCTTACAGCTCATGAAAACCCCAAATCCACAATCTCAGAAAATTTAGAATATTGTGAAAAGGTGCAATATTCTAGGCTCAAAGTGTCCCACTCTAATCAGCTAATTAAGCCATAACACCTGCAAAGGGTTCCTGAGCCTTTAAATGGTCTCTCAGTCTGGTTCAGTAGGAATCACTATCATGGGAAAGACTGCTGATTTGACAGTTGTGCAGAAAACCATCACTGACACCCTCCATGAGGTAGGAAAGCCTCAAAAAGGTAATTGCAAAAGAAGTTGGATGTTCCCAAAGTGCTGCATCAAAGCACATTAATAGAAAGTTATGTGGAAGGAAAAGGTGCACAAGCAGCAGGGATGACCACAGCCTGGAGAGGATTGTCAGGAAAAGGCCATTCAAAAGTGTTGGGGACTTTCACAAGGAGTGCACTGAGGCTGGAGTCAGTGCATCAAGTGCCACCACACACAGATGGATCCTGGACATGGGCTTCAAATGTCATATTCCTCTTGTCAAACCACTCCTGAACAACAATGTCAGAAGCGTCTTACCTGGGCTAAAGAAAAACAGACCTGATCTGTTGCTCAGTGGTCCAAAGTCCTCTTTTCTGATGAGAGCAACTTTTACATCTCATTTGGAAACCAAGGACCCAGAGTATTGAGGAAGAATGGAGAGGCACACACTGCAAGATGCTTGAAGTCCAGTGTGAAGTTTCCACAGTCTGTGTTAATTTGGGGAGCCATGTCATCTGCTGGTGTTGGTCCACTGTGCTTCATTAAGTCCAGGGTCAATGCAGCCATCTGCCAGGAGATTTTGGAGCACTTCATGCTTCCTTCCGCAGACGAGATTTATGGGGATGCTGACTTCATTTTCCAGCAGGACGTGGCACCTGCCCTCACTGCCAAAAGCACCAAAACCTGGTTCAATGACTGTGGGATTACTGTGCTTGATTGGCCAGCAAACTCGCCTGACCTGAACCCCATAGAAAATCTATGGGGCATTGCCAAGAGAAAGATGAGAGACATGAGACCGAATAATGCAGAAGAGCTGAAGGCCGCTATTGAAGCATCCTGGTCTTCCATAACACCTCAGCAGTGCCACAGGCTGATAGCTTCCATGCCACGCCGCATTGAGGCAGTAATTGCTGCATAAAGGGCCCAAACCAAGTACTGAGTACATATGTCTGCTTAAACTTTTCAGAGGTCCGATATTGTTCTATGTACAATCCTTGTTTTATTGATTGCATGTAATATTCTAATTTTCTGATATTGTGGATTTGGGGTTTTCATGAGCTGTAAGCCATAATCATCACAATTATGACAAATCACGGCTTGAACTATCTTGCTTTGCATGTAATGAGTCTATCTCATATATTAGTTTCACCTTTTTTAAGTTGCATTACTGAATTATTATTATTATTATACAGTATTTATAAAGCGCCAATAGTTCACTCAGCGCTGTACATTACAAAGGGGGACAGAACATGTGACAGAACAATACCAATACAATGCAAAACATGAGGGGATCGAGGGCCCTGCTCTTTCGAGCTTACAATAAATGAACTTTTGCACAATATTCTAATTTTTCGAGTTTCACATGTGTGTGTGTGTATGTATGTATATATATATATATTGTATATTGTATGTATATATACAAAGCTCATCCCTGTTTGTTTCAGTAGTACATCCTATTTGGATGAAATGTGTAGGGAGGGGCTTTGTCATAACACCTAAAGCTCTGAAAATCATAGTAAAGGATTCTATTTTATGCTGTGGAGGAGTTTCATTACTACCGTTGTTTATTTGGACTTTTTATACGTTCGTTTTATTAGTTATCAGTTAAATGGACTCAATACCATTGTTATATATACATCTATAAGGACGTTTATGAGGAGTCTTGCTACTATTGTTGTATTTTTACTTATATATTTTTTTGAAACTTATATAATAGTGCTGCAGTTTTTCAAATGATACTGACTTTATACCTACCAGAAGTTAAGTTGTAATGCTTACAAAATAAGTGCTTTATGTCTGAATATCTTCAGATCATGCCCTCTACATACAGTATTCTCTTACATTGGTATTACAAGTGATTTCTATCTCTATTATTATTCCTGCAGACACAGAAATAGCTCTAGTTATGATTTTGAGAAACATGGCACAGCACTTCCCGCAGGAGTTGCAGAACGCATTAGAGTCCCTGCCAGCTGAGGCATCATCAAAACTTCGCTCCACTCTTGGCTTGGCATGAGGTGCTTCTCAGTATGTTTTAATGAGATCTCTTAATTAGTTTGCACCTCACCCATCTTGCACACATTTACCATGTACCTCAAAAAAATTCTTGTACACTAAGAAATAAATTGTTCAAAGTCTTCATTGTGTTTTCTGGTTATTTTTAATGTCTTATCAATAAGGAGTTATCTGTGCCTTGGCATTATGTACTGTTATGTACAGGTAAAAGGTGGTCAGTAGGGAAGCAACAAAGGAAAGGCCGCCTTATTGCCACAAGTGTCAAAAGTCACAAAGTCAATCAGCTGAGAATCACACTTCCCTCCTGGGCAGAACAAATGGTCTTCTATATAAATCCAGTGCACTATTTATCCTTCAATCCCTGCACAATCATAGATCTCCATATGCTCCCACCAGATTGTTCATATCAAACACGCGTTGTATACAATTCAATCTTCCTTTTCTCCTCCTCTTCACCCTCCACTTCACTGCTTGTCCGCCCCAAAAAATAAAAAATAAACAAATACAGTGTAGTATGTTCTAATTGGCTCTATGTTATGATACATCAATGTGCTCACTTTGCAAAAACCTTAATGTGCTCCAGAACTATACTATAATTCACATAGAGTCAACATCAACCACTATTAGCAATTTGTACCTCTACCCTCCAGTATTTAATTCCATGCGTGCAATCTATATATCTCCACAACAATACGTCTCAAACTCTTCTTGGTGTATAAAGTGCACCATCCACTTCCAGTGTTCAAACTCTCAATTGTGCTCCTCATTTACCCTGTGTGAATAAATATATGCCTCTTTGAATTCTCGTTTCGTCTCTGCTGTCATCTCTTCTCTATATTTCTTTATATCCTCCTGACCAATATGGAAAATCAAATACAAAATCCCATAGTGCATCAGTATGCATAAAATGACACTTTATTGTTAAAATGTGCTTACATGGATTCCGGATACAAAGCACCCCCTTCGGATACAAAGCACCTCCAAAATGGCCACCATGGCACGTCCGGTTTCCGTCTGACTTCAATTATCTCTGACGTGTTTCTTCATCAAATTGACTTCCTCATAGGCAGTAAAACAATGCCTATGTGGAAGTCATTTTAACAGTAAAGTATAATTTTATACATACTGCTACATTATGGGATTTTGTATTTGATTTTACATATTGGTCAAGAGGATAAATCCCCCCAATCCTTCCTCCTAGCACAAATCCCCCTAAATCCCTCTTCTTACCACACCCCCCTCCAAACTACCCTTCTCATTACAAATCCTTCCTCCCCGCTCTTAGATCGGGGTTTACACAGTTTGAGTATCCTGCCTCCTATATCCTCTGCTCATCTCTCAGCAGCAGGGAGCCAAGGAATGAATCAAACACTGAACATGCTAATGTAAGAGCGATCCTGTGTCATTTGCTTTATTGAGATTACTCCACTAACAGGAAAGGAGAGCACTGCCCACATCTTCTGGCTCTCTCCTGTCATTTCTCCTCTGCAGGTATCACTGCTCCAGGCTGCTCTCCCCTTGTCCCAGCCATGAGCTGGGATGAGGGAAGGCACTCAGTGGCCAGGCACAGAGTCCATAGACCAGCCTGGGGTGGTGCACAACTGAAATCTGGGGGGACATAGCGCACCCCAGCAACCCCTAGATCTGGCCATGACAGAGAGTAGGGAAACCAGTGGCCGTAGCACCGGCCCTGGCTGCAAGACTCCTGGCATCCCCGTGGTAACTGATGTAGGCCACAGTTGTGGCATTGTTAGTTTGCACCCTGATTGGGTGTCCTTGAAGAAGGGAGGGTCCATTGGTGCAGAGCCACCCTTGTTGCTTAGTTTCAGAAAGTTGATGGGGAGCTTGTTTTCTCTGGTAACCATATTCATTGGCTCATGAGGGATTGAAACACTTCTCCTTAGCCTAAAAGGCTTATGTCTGTTGTTATCACCTCCTGTGATATGGCAGAAAAGGCTGCCTATTCTCAAGGCTGGTTTGAAGATCCACCAAGCTGGGGAATTCCTTGTTTGGCTGGATAGGAGCCCATGAGTAGGTTTAAAGGAACATGCTTGTTCTGTAATAACAAGATGTTGTGTTGGAGAGGTCTAGAATGAGAAATTGTGTGAATGTGACAGCCTTGAAGGAGGCTTCCATGAGACCCAGACCTCTCATGGAGAATCAAACAGAGGGGCTCTTTGATTTCACATTTCGAGTGTGACTTCTGAGAGAGAGCAGTTTGGTTTCTGAAAGAGACTTTTGCTTGGGCTGTGTGTAGAATTGGGCCTAAGTATTCTGGGAGAAGAGTAGGTTGGAGGGCAGATTTTTGGCAGATGAGGACCCAACTGAAAGCCTGAAGCATCTGAATTGTCTTGTTGATATTTGCAGATAGCTGGAAGGAAGATGAGTCCTTTTAGAAGGTTGTCTAGATAACCTGTGCTGTGGTTACCCTGAGTTCTTAGAAGAGCATGAAGAGGTATAAGTACCTTTTGTGTAAACATTGGGAGCAGAGGATAGGCCGAATGGCAGTGCATCAAACTGGAAGTGGGGTCTCCAAACTTTTTAAACAAAGGGCCAGTTTACTGGTCTTCAGACTTTAGAGGGGCCGCAATGTGGCCACAGGGAGTAGAAAATGTCCCAGCATCAGTTGGAGTAAACAATGCCAAATCATTGGTGTCATTGGGAGGAATTGTGCCCCGTCATTGGTAGGAATAGCATCCCATCATTGGTAGGAATAGTGTCCCATCACTGGTGTGATTGGGAGGAATTGTGCCCCATCGTTTCTCATTGGTAGGAATAGTGCCCCATCATTGGTGTCATTGATATGAATAGTGTCCCTTCATTGGTGTCATTGGTAGGAATAGTGTCCCATCATTGGTAGGAATAGTGTTCCATCATTGATGTGATTGGGAGGAATTGTGCCCCATCGTTGATGTCATTGGGAGGAATTATGCCTCATCATTGGCGTCATTGGTAGGAATAGTGCCCCATCATTGGTAGGAATAATGTTCCATCGTTGGTGTGATTGGGAGGAATTGTGCCCCATCGTTGATGTCATTGGGAGGAATTGTGCCCCATCATAAGAGTCATTGGGCCCCATTGTTGTCATGAGGAGGAGAGCTGTGCCCCAACGTTGGTATCACTGGGAGGAAGTGTGCCCCATCATTGGGAGGAAATGTGCACCGTCATTGGCAGGACTTGTGCCCCATCATTAGAGCCACTGGGCCCCATTGTTGGTGTCATTGGCAGGAACTCTGCCCCATTGTTGGTGTTATTAGCAGGAACTGTGCCCCGTTGATGGTGCTGGTGAATGAAATAGTGCCGCAAAGGGCTGCATCTGGCCCCCGTGCTGCAGTTTGAAGACCACTGTCCTAATGCATAGCGTAGAAAGCATTGATGAGTTGGATAAATGGGAACATGCAGATAGGCATCTTTGATGTATTCTCATTGTCTCAGAGGGGCAATAACTGACCTTGTGGATTCCATGCAAAATTTGGATTTGAAGACATTTGTTTAGGGATTTTAGGTCCAGGATAGGATGAATAGCCCCATTGGTTTTTGGTACCATGAACAGGTTTAAATCGATCCTTCTGAACCTGTCCTGTACAGGGACTGGAAAAAAAACTACTCCCTGGGACAAGAAATGGTTCAAGCCATTCTGCAAATCTGTCCATGGGCAGACTTGGGTTGGTTTGAAAGAAAAAAGCGGTCCGGTGGTAGAGATTTGAGCTCTATTTTGTACCCCTTTGAAACAACTTGATTGAATCCACAGAGGCTAGGGGAAAGAAATCTTCCACGGTCTCATCTAACACTGCCTCCAGGTCCCTGTAGATCTCTGTGGGGTTGTCTCATGAGGCAGGAAATGTTTGGAAAATGCTCTGAGGGAAGTCTAACGGGAGGTACTGTGCAAGTGCGGGAAGAAGATCCAGGTTGGTAGGAACATTGAGGCTGGTCACAACTGCACCAACTCAATAAGTAGCAGCAGGAGGTGAAGGGTGGGTTAATTAAAGGAGAAGTATGGCCAAGCTATTTTGGCTGAACTTCTCCTGTAGGTCACAGCTCTCCTGTTGCCCTGTTTTTCAGGCCACTGTCGGCTGGCATCCCAGTCCAGGCTCTGAAAAGATACCAGCCATATGGTCAGGACCCAGCCCAGAGTCTGGACCGGCACATGGCTCAGCCTTTCAGTGATCTGCTGAGAGCATGAGCCAGCCGCTCCTGCCCCCTCCAAAGCCCAGCGCTTCAATGAGTGCTGGAGGGGCAGAGCAGAGAGTCGGTGACTGACAGTCACGACTCTCTGCTCAGAGTGGGGGATTAAACTGAACGATCAGCCATGTTTGACCGCTCAGTTCTCACTACAGAGCTGGCAGTGGACAACTAGGTGAGTATAAATGTTTGCTCTTTATTAAGTCCATTCTCTGTTAAGGTCAAAAAGGGGGCAAACGGTAAGTGTACTTTGTGTGAAAGTATGTTAGCCCTTCAAAAAACATTGGTATATTTTAAAACTTTGCATGTGTTTTAGGTTCTTTTAGTTACTATGAACATCCTGGCCTTATATGTAATAGGGTGGCAAACAAAGGCCAAATTAAATGAATTCTGCAACATCAAGCTGCGCCCTCATCTGAACACTTCGGCCTCCCCAGCACTTCCAGATCAAAAACAACCATTCCTCTCCAGCCTACTTCCTCAGATTTACTAAATTCTGCATCCCCTGAATCTCTCTGGTTAACATTTTCCTGATGTCCGCAGAACTGACGTGCACACATAATCCAATGGAAAGGACTCAGAATGTTTATACAGTGGGTAAAATAAGTATTGAACACGTCACCATTTTTCTCAGTAAATATATTTCTAAAGGTGCTATTGACATACAATTTTCACCACACGTCGGTAACAACCCCTGCAATCCATGCATACAAACAAACCAAAACAAATAGGTTCAGAAATTAAGTTATGTGTGGTAAAATGGAATGGCACAGGGAAAAGTATTGAACACGCTAACTGAAATTTATTTAATGCTTTGTA